TTGTCCTGCTCTTGTAATAAATGGGAAGTCTTATTTTCGGGCAGGTGCTCTGCGCTCATATAAAAAACAATGCTGTTAGCATATTGCCACTCCGCACGTGCATTCGATACTTGCCTGTAAAGTACAGACCTGCATTGATACCGACGTATTTTCAGTAAATAAACGGCGAGCTCCAGTGCCGTAGAGTGGCTGCGCACAGCAGCCACCCCACGCAGTGTCAACGGCCAATCGGTCCAAAGACCACCCTCGTTCCCAAGCGAAAGACGCAGGTAGACGGAATACTTACATCCCGAGCTTTACTGGAGTGGGTTTACGGCCTCGAATCCCCGACCTCGCACCATTCTCTCTACACAGGCATTGCAACAGGTCGCACCGCCACTGCCTGGACCACCGGCGGGGCCCGTGGTACCCGGACACAAACCTGGGCCGCAGCTGAGCCGGTGCTCCGCCCGCACGAACTAGCGTGCCGTCCGCTCGAGCCAATGTCCCGTCCGCTCGAGCTGGTGTCTCGTCCGCACGAGCTAGTGTCTCGTCCGCACGAGCCAGTGTTCCGTCCACGCGCGCCGGTATCTCGTTCGCACGAGCCGGTGCTGCGTCCGCAGGAGCGGGTGTCCCTTCCACACGAGCCGGTGCTCCATCCGCACGAGCCGGTGCTCCGTCCACACGAGCCAGTGTCCCTTCCGCGCGAACAGGTACTCCGTCCGCACGAGCCGGTGCCCCTTCCACACGAGCCGGTGTCCCTTCCAGACGAGTCGGTGTTCCGTCTGCACCAGCCGAGTGTCTCGTCCACGCAAGGCGGTGTCCCGTCCGCACGAGCGGGTGTCCCTTCCACACGAGCCGGTGCTTCGTCCGCACGAGCCGCAAATGCCGCGCCCGGCATTCCGGGCGCGGCTGCCGGGCTTGTGCCTGCCTGTAGCAGCCCGCCATCCTGTCGACTCGCGCCCGTGAGTGCCACTGCTCTGCGGGACGACCGGCGCCCCTGCCACCCCGGCTTGGACATTGTTGTCCCTGATGGCTGCCAATGGTGTTCAAACAGTATCCCATATCACATGTTTTCGTATCGGCAGTGCCGTATCGACAGACAGATCGCCTGAAACAGCACATCGGCAGCGGTACAATCGAGTCAGTCCTGATGCAGATCGCAAAGCCAATCGCAAGCAGGATATGATGGTCCCCTGTGTACAACGCAAACAACAAACTAGACGTCTGCCAAAAAAAAAACACCGATAAAAACTATTGGAACAGTCCAGTAGCATGCGTGTCTCGCGAAAGATATGAATGCATGAATAATTGTTCGGCAACTGCCGGATATTAACCTTCGCCTCGTATCACGCCAATACAAAAATGGGCGTCGTCGTTGAGACACCACTACGCGGAGACACCACTGTCGGACCTGCCCAAGCAAACCGTAGAATAACCACCGCGCCCCGTGACGGCGAGCACACGCAACAGCATAATACATCCGTCTGGGGTCATCCCTGGCCACCCAGTCTTACAGTTCGTACATTCAGTGCCCTTAGCGTTACATCATCGTTCCTGAACCTTTTGCATGCATAGTCATAAATGTGGCACTAAATCCAAGCTCAATGCATTTATGTTTCGCACCACCAGCCGACTTTCCTGGAAACTATCGGATATGTGCACCTCTCAAGGTTCTGCACTGCGATTTCACCCAAAGCCGTTACCACGTATCACAAGACATGGGATTTGCAAACACGAGCCACTGAGCGAACAAATGGCCTCGTAACTTTCTCAGCCCACAACTGCGGAATCTTCCATCTCTACACATTCCACCGCCTCAAGAAAGCACAGCAGCAGCCAATAATCACTACTGAAGACTGAGGTCGGCCCCTCTGCCCAGTCAGAGTCTCACGATCCGCATTACAGATCAGTAATGTGATGATAAAAGAATACACGGCAATATAGGCGAGCCACGTTTGGCATCGTTTGGCACATTAGGGTGACTGTCAAGCCTAAAACGTCGTCTCTACAGAACGTTTCAGGTCAAAGTCAGTTTGGCAGCCAAAATGAAGCAGAAGCGGTTCGGCATGGGGTTGTCGCAATAGGAACTCAACCGACGAATATGAGAGCGAACTCGTCACAGATTATTCTCGAGGTTATGCACAATACACTTCTCTGAGAATGAAGTTTGGCTCATGTGAGCCTTTTTCGGCTTGGAACGCAACTTTGCCCATATGAGGCACGATAAATGTCGCATTTCAGGAGTCACAGCTCAGCATACATGTCAAGATCACAGCGTGCTACAAACCCGGACTAAACGGCGTGCCCAACACGGCAGCGCCCTTAGGACTAGCCGTCTCAGCACAGCCGACGCTGGTGCTGACGTCACCGCGAGCTCTCGCAAACGGTGGCCGTCGGCGGTGGCCTGCCGTTCCGGATCCACAGCTACTGACCCGCGCCGCGCTCCGCCGCCCCCACCGCCGCCTCCCGCGGGAAGAACTTCCGCACGATCACGCTGATGAACGTGCTGCGCAGCCGACGTTTGAAGGCCTCGTACCAGTCGAGAAGGCGGCGGCGGCGGGCAGCGCGCTGACGCGCACTAAGCGCCGCCTCGCGGCGCAGCAGATCGGGCAGCTGATGCCAGTCGCGCAGCCAGAGGAACGGGGCGCCGTGGCGGCGCAGCAGGCGCAGCGCGTCCGGCGCGCAGCCGGCAGCGCCGGCGGCGTCTGCGGCCGGCTCCAGCAGCACGGGCACCGAGCCGAGCGACGCCGCCTCGTACAGACGGTAGCACTCGGCGTTACGGCCGGCCGGGCTGAGCGTGAGCTCCGACTCGAGCAGCGCCTCCAGGTACGCCGAGGCCGACCGATGGCTCTCCGATGCCGACCACCTGGCGACCGAGGTGCGTGGCTTCAGAGGGCGGCCGAGACGGGGCGGTGCGCGGGCCGTCCGTCCCGTCATACGCCCGGAAGGCAGTATCACTGGGCGAGATGGCGAAAGGCAGCCGTCATAACGTTGTATGACAATGCCTGACATGAAGGACGGCTGTACCTTTGCATTACAATTCAAGCCCACCTGGTTTAAACAGAAGCTACCATACACCGTCGCCAGCTCAGCTCGTGCTGGTCAAACGGATCTCATACTTTTCTCTAGTGCAATTCAGTGTTTCCAAATGTTGTGTGTGCTTGTGACCTGCCTCAAATGTTCGCCAGCTCTCGTGGCATGCGAGGAATGTTATAACGATACAACCCCACTGGCAGGACATCCTCATACGGCCCAGCTATAGCGCCGCTTGCAGCTTTCTGCCCGGTGACTTCTAAGGCACGATCAAGACCGCTGGACGGCAACAGACCTTCAATGTACACCAAATTTTATATATTACGCTCCAAAATTATTTTTTTGAGTTTAGTGACTTTTGGACATATCCATGATCGAACATGTGGATAGTATTCTTGCTCTTGTAAGTAGAAATGTGCCAACTTGGACAATCAATTTCACACCTTTTTCATTCTATGTCGTATGTTATTACGATTACGTATACTATCATTTTTTCCCAATACAGAATATCGACTTGGGAAAGGTTTCCCGTGCATCACGGCAGTGTCCCTGGGACATCGCCCCCACATCACGGCAGTGTCCCTGGGACATCGCCCCCACATCACGGCAGTGTCCCTGGGACATCGCCCCCACATCACGGCAGTGTCCCTGGGACATCGCCCCCACATCACGACATGTATGCACCACCTCGACCGCTGGCCCTCAGAATCAGTAAGTCCAGGGCATCTGGCAGCGCGGCTTCGCCTGGCGGGAGGGCCACCGGCTGACTCACTCGGAGCGCGTCTTCAGCAGACAGTTGTGGTCGGACATCGAGCTGAGCGCGTCCATCAGCGCCTCGCGCGACGAGTTGGGGTACACCGTACCTAGGAAGTTGCAGCTCCAGCGGCGCGCGGCCGCCGCGTCCACCGAGAACGGACCCTGCGGGAAGCCACGGTACCTGGCGGCCCCAGGTGGTCATCCCCAGCGCCGGCAGGCTGACCTGCCAACATCCGCTGACTCCTCTACCTGCGGCACGCACGGCGGCTTTGGGAGCCACGAGTCAGGTCATGAAAACTACCCCAAACGGCTGTTTCCTTTTCACACGATGCTTGGATCTTGGATCCACCTGCTGGGACGGATACGCCAGCAAATCCCCGTGTCCCGTATCCGGATTACGCTGGTGAACATCGCCACTCAGCTCCGCTTACATGATCGCCAGCGCCCTCCCCCCCCCCCCCCCCCCCCCCTCCCCACCACTCCCAGCCTCCTGCAACACTCACGTGGCGACACCTAGCGGCCACTGGAACACGTCGCGGTCGTCCACGGACGGATCATCATACACCACGAACAGGGCGTCCACGAGGCCGCCGTGCGACGCGCAAGTACGGCCGAATCCAGGCGTTGTCGCACGCCTCGTCGCCGTGCAGGAGGACGGCAGCGGCGCGGAGCAGCACCAGCCGAGGCAGCAGCTCCAGCCAGACGCGCGCCGCGCGGATCTGGCGACGCGGCGTCAGTCGGGCGCGGCTCGACGAACGCGTGTGGGGGACGGGACATGCTCGCGCCGGACTCCGTCGCTCAGGTATTCACCGGCCACCGCAGGGCCGTGACAGCCCAGCGCATCCAACAGCGTCGGCCGCGGGGTCAACAGGCCTACACAGGCGCGAACAAGCGAACTGACCCCGCCGAAGTAAACCATCGCAATGGACAGCCCGGGTTAGTGGCGCTACGTCAGACGCCGGGCAACGACCGCGGCGCCGCCGGCTCATGGCTTCATGTTTAATCGAATGGTCCTGCGGTTTCAAACTGCACGCATTGCATGTGCATTTCTTTGAATGCACAAGTGATATTCCTTCGAAAGCCGACAGCGGCCGGAACATTTGGTCACACACGTCAATGAGCACTAAAATACCATGTTGCGCAAGTAGTGTGCCAGGTCGGCCGGCACCGGCGAGCGCCCACCTTTTCCTCGGTGCGGCCGTTCAGCACCAGCACCAGGTACTGCACGTCCGCCGGCACGGTGTTGGGCACCACGCCTGGGCCAGCGCGGAACGTGAAGGTGTAGCGCGAGAAACGGCGCGTGCCCACGCTCCACGGCTCGCCCGGCTTCTCCTGCGGAGCGGCCGATAGGGCGTGCCAGTGGATGCTGGGGCGGCGTTCTCGGCCGTAGCACCACCAAAGACGCCCATATTTAGCGAGGATGAGCTTGATCACAGACCAGAGGTACCATTGACAGTCGACGACGGTGAGTCGATGGGGGCATTTTTTAAACCTTGCAAACAGACCGGAGCACCGCAGACAACAATACATCGTGCACAAGGAGTTGTATTCAATTACTTATTACTACATTTAGTCAACAATGTACTCAATCGATCGTTGCTTGCAACTGCATCAGCCGTTGAGTGTTAAAAGTCAGACGTACCTGCAGTCTTGCATTGAAGACACTGTTCCAGAGGTACCACCCCACAGCTGCCTTGCTCCATATCTCGATCTGTTTATGTTCTCCGTCACTAGCTGAGGACCGGGGGCTTCCGTGTGTATCTCCAAAAACTGCAGGCAGCTGATCTGCAAGATAACCAGCCTTTGACCTTCAAACCAAGCAACATAAACCTGCAGCGATGACTAGCATGCTGCTGGTGTTGCCTCTGTCAAAATCAAACGCTGTGCAGGCAATAATGCTACGAATTTCCAGAGTTGTTTCATAAAGCAATTCTACGAATGTCGTGTTTCAATGCCGCACAGACTCAGTTCACGAAGTAGTGATTCAAATGCCAGTAACAGTCATCAGCTCCGTCCAGGTTGAAAAGTTCCGATTCTGAGTTCACAGTCTACGTATCTTTGCATTTTTGGCACTTCGTACGACCTTTTATACGTCTACACTGTGTCGCATTTACGTGCGTAGTCCCTCCTCCTAGCGATCCAGGCATTTCGATTTCGGCCCCTCAGCGTCACAATGTCTCGTCGGCACGAGAGGAGTCCGTAGCCCGTGGCGATTCCTCGGACTGCCCGGGGGCTTCGCCAGCCGCGCAGGGCACCTCCGGTCGCCAAAGAGCACATCTGATTGCTAAGATGAACCTCTGGCGGCTTGGCGGCTCGTTTGGTGACCAGAGCCATTTGGCCGCATCATCCCGACCCTCTGGGTACTTAGGGCCTTATCAACTCTAAGGGTCTCTTTGGCCGCTCCGGAGCTCCTCCCTTCCAAGGACCCCTCCTGGCTGTTCGTGGGTTCCTTCACAGTTCGAGAGTTCTCTAGACGCCCAGGGATCGCAGCCAGACGCCTGAGACTCTCTATCTTTGCGTTGCCCTCTGGCCGCACAGGGACCCTTTAGCTGCTCAGGGACTGTTAAGCCCTTAAGGAACGTTACTCCGCGTCACAGAGGAACATCCCAACCACCAATACGCCTCTCTGCTACTGTGCTCCACTGGCCGCTAAGGGCATGGCTGGCAATCCCGTGGGGGCCGGGGGGGGGGGGATCAAATGGCCACGAAGAAGGCTATTTTTTAGAACAACGCGAATAAAATGACGGCACTGGATGAGAATAGCGAAAACAGCGTCCTTTTTTGCCAGAATAAGCCCCGAGAGAGTACCAAAGCCCGTTTGGATGCTCAGGAACCCTATTCGGCCATTCCGGGGTTCCTGTGGTCGTTCGTTGCATCCTGCCTGGAGGCCAGGGACACTTTGGTCGCTCAAGAGTCCTTATAGACTATGGACATATAGACATCAGGCCAACAAAGAGCCACAAGGGCCCATCGAGGATGGCCTACCCTAGGTTCCTCACCCATCCTTGAGCTAACCCTTCCACCTGACCTGCCTTAATTTGGCTATAGATGAGATCCTTAGGCCTATAGAGCTTGTCCAAATGATTTTTAAACGTTGCTAGGGAGGGTCTTCCTATAACTTCGTTTGGAAGCCCGTTCCAATGATTCACTGCTCTTTAACTAAATGACAGCTGCCTCTTCATAGGTCTACTCCTACCTTTTGTTTATTGAAACCGGTTTCCTCTAAGTCTCAGCCTAATTTCCAGTGCTTCTTGTAGATGTACCTTGTCTTTCCCTCTCATAACCTTGAATACCTCTACCAGATCCCCTCCGAAGGGCAGTGCGAAACTCTCGGGTCTTATTCTGGCAAAAAGGAACGCTGTTTGCGCTCTTCTCATTCAATACAGCCATTTCTATTCGCGTTGTCCCAAAAAAAAGTCAACGCTATTTCGGTGAATACAAATCCAAGGCCTTAAGCCTATCCTTATATTCTAAGCCGCCAATACCATTTATCATCCCTAACTGCCTTCCTCTGTACTCTCTCCAGCCTAACCTTTCGTCACCCAGAGGCTCTTTTAACTAAGAAAGGCCTTTCTGATTCCTGAGGAGACATTCTAGCTGCGGAACAGTCCTGTGACTATTGAAATCCCTCTCTGGGTGCTCAGCGGCCCAAATGCCGCTCAGGACTGCCCACGATCTATTTCATACATGGTTTTAAAGCAGAGGAACAGGGAACTCGTGGATTCCATGGCGCACAGCTTCCCGAGAATGCTGGTGAGCAGTCCCATGGGGACACATGGAGATAAATGACTTTTATTCGGTTTTGACAGCCCCGCTTTTTGCGACATTTTTCGAAATTTGCATGGCCCTGCTTACAATGAAAAACCGGGAGACGGGAACGACTTAAAGTTGGGCTGGGGTGAAAGGGGGTAAATAGAACACGACTTACCAAGCCTACCTCTCCATGTTTTCTTTCCATCCCTTTGGTCACGCAATTTTTTAATGGACGAGCAAGTTATCTGTGTTACTGAAGAATTGTATCGATGGTAGTACGTGATCTGGTGCACATATGAACAACAAGCTTGGATGTGTTCCCTTTTTTGCAACATTTTCGCGTGTATTATACAGCATTTTCCTATGTTTTTATATTCTACCTACCCTTCGCCCGTCAACATTTGACCGGGAGACCCGCCTCTGTCCGCCGTGGAGCGCAAAACCTTACACTGATATCGGAATGAGTCACTGAATGACAGAAGTGAAAGGCCGCGAGACTCCTAACTACGAAATGTGAAACCTTCTGAACAAATCAGCGTATTGCTAACAATGGCATTGGTATGGCCTTGCATGGCTACTTTTCAACCGTTCCAGTTGTTTGCAGCTTTCAGTCGCGATGGTCATCCAGCCCAGACCGTCGCTTCAGTCGCGATGGTCATCCAGCTCAGATCGTCGCTTCAGCCGCGATGGTCATCCAGCTCAGACCGTCGCCTTCCGTCGCGATGATCACCCAGCTCAGGCCGTGTAATTACAGTACATGGTCTGTAATGTAATGTCAATGGTCTTTTCCATTCCATAAATGCGTGAATCGGTACGCAGCCTCCCTGAACAATAATCTATCGAGTTCGACGTCGTATTCCCGTCTGGCTCGCAGCTACTTTGCTCCAGCCTTGGTAATGGCAGCAGTGATAAGCTTGTAAGCATCGTCCTTCCATAATGAAATACAACACTTCACTTCTTCCTTACAAGATATAATCGCTTCACTTGATTACCCTTAGAAATTACCCATTTAAGTCTCACGACGTCGTTATTATGACCACAGGAGGATATAACTTACGACAGCTGTCATGCAAGTTCTTTACGTAAATAACCTGACTTAAAGTTTTCCATACAACTTCTTAGAGAGCGCACGTGCATGCGGATATGGCTTAGTCCACAGTTCACCTCCGCCACATCCCGGCACGAGTCGCTGCCATGAGCTTGGACAAGATAAATAATAATTGATACGGATAACTCTCAAACGGGTCGTGACACCAAGTTATGTCGCCCCCAGCAGCCGCTTATACATTCTCTAATTCGCATCTTCACACCGACATTCAACAAAGCTGCTCCGATTTTTATCAATCACAAGTAAACGACTTAGCACAAAATAAATTCGTTCAGTACCAAAACTGTGTACGTGAATGATCTTTCAGACTAAGGACGTGAAGCGGCCTCCGAGTCATTAAACATCATTTCAGGGACCGTTCTACGCAACACATCGCGCTACGGTGTCTCCCGCAACGAAACGGAGTAGATACTAGGAAAATGGTTTCGGCGGAAGAGACTGCGACGACGGCAGGAAGCACCACGTTACCACCGGCAGCAACAGCAACACATAGTATCCGTTGAATGGTTTAGTGATTGTCGCATTGGGCACAACAGAGAAGTGCACGTTTTATGTAACGGTGCTGTTGCCGAGGCAATTTCGAACAAGTACAGAGTAAAACCTTGACCTATAGGCTAAGCCTATAAACCTTGACCTGGCTTATGTTTGATGATATGAAGCACGCTGCCTGAAATTACGCCAGGCCATCAATGAACTGATGAAAGGCAGATCGGTGAAGCCCAACTGGGACCCATCTGGGGGGGGGGGGGGGGGGGGGTATCGGTCCCATTTGAGCTGGTTGTATGGGTCCCAACTTGGCTGGTTAGATGAGTTTCAGCTGAACATACTCATGTTTCTTACGTTTTTAAGGACAGTTCTGATTCAGAACAGGGCCTCCCGATTTATGGAGGGTGTCTCATAATCCAGAACAGCGGCCTCCCGATTCTTAGGGGGGGGGGGGGTCCAGAGCCAGCCCTCTTACATAAAACGAGGACTCCAGACCAAACGAGGACTTGACTAATTCATTTAGGGGTTCCTGAGCCAGAAAAGCTGATTCTTGGTACAAAGAAGGGCGTCCTGAACCTTAGTAAAAAAAACCTCCTTACTCAGCTATGGGTAATTTTCAATCTGAAGTTTTGATAAAATGTGTAATTTAAAAATCTCAGCTTGGTTTAAAGGGGCATCAATCAACGAGGGCGGCAAATGCATGTGTTTGTCCCCCTGCCTGCCGACAGAGCGGAACGGCTGCCCCCCCCCCCCCCCCACCCCCCCCCCCACCCCCGCCTCCCGGTGCGACGCCCCGACTCCGCTCATAATGAAACGGTCCTTTTGCTTTTCGCTTGTCTGCTAGGCCGCCGTGCTGACACGTAAAACATTTCTAGCCCGCAAGTAAGTCAGACAAACAGGCCTCGTGCTTGGGCGGAGGTAACGCAATTCCCCAAATTTAGCCCGCAAAGGACCCCGCGCAGCCCAATAATTCAGGATCCCGCAACCCTTTTAAGTAACACATTTTGATGTTATGTCTAGCTGACTTTTTACATTTTGAATGCTATCCCCTAAGCGTGCATTTCGTTGGCTTTTTTTCGTTTGAACTCTGTTCTTTTCCATGTATTCCCCTGGCCTTCATCTCCATTTACTTGTTGCGATTTGGACTTATTGGCTTTTGACCTCTGTCGTCCCAGCTTTTATCTCTCTATTATGGTTCAGTTTCACTTATTGCCTTTTACATAATATAACTTTTAATCATGGGCGCAGGAACAGGGGGGGGGGGCAGGGGGCCATGGTCCCCCCACTTTTCAAAGCGGGAGGGCAGCAATGTTAAATGCCCCCCCCCCCCCCCCACCCACACTTTTCAGATTAGGGTTGCATTTGGCTTACTTTTGCACTACATTAAACATGCATGCCGATTTACCTAGTTCACCAGTCATATCCCTTAGGATGCGTCATCTTTTTCGTTCGTTCATTGGCCATCGCTCAGTGCTACAGCCGCAAGGCCCATGCCGCACGGCCTGGGGACTGCAACACCGGGCGTCGAGGCTGTTGTGACTTGCGAGCGCGCATGTTCAAGGCCAAATTACGTAGTTTTCTTATCAGCAATTAGTTTTGACAGGATCCTGAGCATTTTAAGACGAGCATGGGTTAGCCATGTTAATACAAATTAGGGACTAGGAAATCATTTCTAATCTACGGCCAGGGAGAACCCAATAGCTCTGAATAACACAGAAAAACACGGAACTGGAGCCCATGTGACAATTGTTGGCTACCTGCGGTGACCAGGGATGTTGTTGCATCATTGAGGGTTCCTGTGCTGATCCGGGGCTAACTGCGCGGGTCAGAAGGCCTCCCGTATCAGGAATGGGAACAGTATGGTGATATATCCTCTGTGGCCTCCGGATCGACCAAGAGATCCCGCCCCCTGTCACCATAATGATGGCCAGGAGACATTTAGCGAAGGGATGGAATGGCCCTTCAGCCCTTGACAGGAAATGGTAATGTACCCCTGGTGTTCTTCTCAACAGGCCCCTTGCCCGAAAGGAAATAAGGGGTCTCATTATTGTTGTGCAGGGTGGGAGTCTCATTATTGTTGAAAAGGATGGCTCGAAATGAGGTTAAAAAAACGAGAAGGGTCATTCCATGTTTGCCTGAGAACGTTTATTTTTCAGAATGTATTATTGAAACAAATTACATCAAAAGGATTGAAAATGCCCGCCCGCAACCTCGAGAGCAAGAACAAGGAGGGTCTGGGTTGCGAATTCCGTAGAACCGAAAAGTTTCGGCCACTGCAAGTGCCACCAGACGGCGGGGCGCGTGTTAATCTGTCATTTGAATCAATAAATAGCTGCAAAACACGAAAAATAGAGATTCTACCGTCGTTAGATTCTAACCTACGTCAGATAGCCTTGATTCTACCCTCATTCTTCCAGTTCAACCACCGGATTCCAGTCCCACTTCGCGGCGCTTTAAGGGCCAACCCGTTCTTTTCATTAGTCTTAACATTGCACACATGAAATATGCGCCCAGTCTGCCCTCTAAATGTAAGATTTGGTGTCCTGAAGCGTTCAAGGATACTTTTTCAGAAGCGTTGTCATTTTCGCCCATCCGTTGGCCACAACTTAATGTTGGCTGCCGGGCCGACGATGCGCGGGCTACGGAGACTGCAATGCCTGGTGTCGAGGTTTTTGTTGTTAATATTTGCGAGCGCGCATGTTAAAAGATACGTTACATAAATTGTATCACTAATCGATTCTGACTGAATGGTGAGCATCTTCAGACGAATACGTCTTGACCATGTTTATACACATTGTTGACCACTCGATCGGCAATCAAATTTTCATCTTCAAATGTGGATCAAACATATCGATCCACAACCTACCTTTGCGACGTCCTCAATGTCTGTAGAACCCAGATAAAAAATTCTGGCAAAACTTCTGAATTCTATCGGTTTAGAAAGAGTCAACTAACCATTGTAAATTAATAGCGCGCCGGTGATTTATTCCATGCAGTCGTTCAACGCCTGATTTCTGCAGTTTATTGACCTTAAAATGCAAACAGAATTGAGCTCACTGTATCTCCTGATTTCTGCTCTGGTTACAAGGTAAAAATAACAATAAAACAAAGAAAGCCGTGTCACTTGATAACAAGTAGGCTATACCGGGGGCTTTTTTGGGGGGGGGGGGGGCGGGGAACACCATAAGATGAGCTTTTGTCAACCTTGTGTTCCTCCTTGGCAAGGCCCTGGCCACGCCTCGGCCTACACAGAAAAGCAGATCAAGTCGTTTACGTTGCATGATGGATAACGAAGTGTCCGTGGGCCAGTTCACACCTAAGGCAGACAGCTTCCCGGAGGTTATTTTTCTGCGATGGTGTGGTGTAGGGGAATATGATTTGGAAAAGGATGCTGTTGCAGGTGTCCAATACATGTTTCAAACACCATGCAGTAGTAACGCTGATCCAAAAGTATGCGACAAAGAAGCCATACGATCAGTTCATAGTCAGTGATGCGGGAGACATCCGGGCCAGGGCAGTGACCAACGACGGCGGACAGGAGCAGGGCCCAGATAAGGAACATATGACAGATGGGCCTTATTATGTGGCTTGGTTCCTTAAAACAGTTTCCAGTCTTATGACTTTTGTCACATTGTTTCTGGCATTTTCAAGCTCCCAAATTTGTTTCCGCCTAAAATTCTGCTACAAGTCTCTTGACAAGCAGCCAGCGACATGAAGGCGCATGAAAAATTTGTCGCATTGTGAGCCATCGATCCACTTTCAAAATTTTCACCAGCCTATATCCAGGCCGTATTTTGGCATCTACTGCTGCGGAGGCAGATGCTTTCTCAATGACCGAAAATGCCTGCCCGTGGAATTCCGCCTCCCCAGGAGACAATTTTAAAATAGACGAATAATCTTGGGAAGCTGGATGGCCTTATTTGCCAAATAACAGATGAGTCGAAAAGGCAAAATTCTGCACCAGTGAGGAACAGCTCTAGATGCGTATCTAGCATAGCAGCCGTGACATTTGAAAAAGAGCGATAACGACTTCCGTCCCTACCCGCCCCCCCCCCTCCCTCCCGGTCATCGGGCTCGCTTTCCAGAAAAAAGTTGCTGAAGTGCGACCTGAACTTGGTCCCCACTTCTTGAAACATTCCTACGCCTATGCTTTGAATGAAAATACGGCACGCGTCATCACGCCTGGAGCGCCAGCGACTGCACCGGCTGTGTTATGATAAATGGTCAGAGGCCATGGCGCAACCGGGATTCAAACCTAGGCCTCCCACGTGAGAGGCACGGGTCTATAACTACTAAGCCATTCTCCCTTCCTCTAAAATATACAGTTGACTTTTATCTCCTTTAGTCTTTTGCTTACTTGACTTTCATGTCTTTATACTATTGCCCGTTTGACTTCACCTTTTTAATTCGCCCTTTTTTTACTTTTTCCTCTTTGACTTTCACAGTTCTCTTTAATCTTTTTGACCTTATGCCATTTGAATATGATCCCACTTGGCTTTTTGCCATTTGTGTTTTATCCTTTGAACTTTTTGGCTTTTGGCTTCTTGTCCGATTGCCATTCGATTGATGCACCAAGTATATTCACTGACGTCATCGGCTGGCATAACCGCACAAGCAGCACAGACTTCCAGGACCAGCTGCGCCACATTCACCAGCAATAAACGGGAGGAGGCAGTGTCGGTCGACGAGTACAAAGGCGTGGAGTGCAGGGTAGATACTGTTCTCCCGTCAAGGCCACTGCACTGTTACGTTTTCCGGATTTTTGGACAATCATATAGTTGTACGAGTATGTCATCCTCAAAATCGGCGTCTTTGTGAGTGGTACCCGCCCACTTACCCGCGTCGGTGCCAGCGAGCTGTGAATCACGTCCCGGAGTGGTGAAACAACGATCCCACTCCATGATCTTAACAAGCGTGAATAAAGTGATACAAATATAGCTTATGATAAGTGTCAAAGATATTGCGAATAGGGACGTGGGGATTCTCATGGTGAACACTAGATTTATCGCCTTATTTGTATATCGCGACAGCCGGTTCGTCCGAGATGCGCCAATTTGACCGAGAGAAGTGATGAGCTCCCGCCCTCGTCTGTCAGCTGGATGGAATTGACGTCACCGAATCGTTTGACATTATATATTTAACCCTGTAATGTTTGAACTAAAATACATTGATCTCATTTTGGGTATAAGATAAAAGCTATTTAGCACCATGCCAAATTATTCACACAGTGCTTAATACATGATTGTAGAGTTAATTCTTTCCATGCAGTGGCAGACCAAGATGGACATATGCTTGTAGCAACCATGGATGATGTTCCTGCCATATGCCATTAGCCCTTTCTGTGTCAGACAGATACTTATTCTGGCTGTCATACCTAGTGTTGCTTGACTAGGAGCCTAGCATTCTTCTGCAAAACACATGTTCAGCAAGTGATGAAGCTCATGGACATTCTATCCTTTTGCCCATACTTTCCAATCAGAATAATTCTCAATCCAGGGATATACTATTATATTGCTAAAGCATAAATTATGTCTTCACTTTGATGTGTACAAATCAGGTGCTGGTGTACACATCTGTGGCTGCCAATTTGACACACTGGTGGTCCAATGTTTGAAGCCTTCCATTGTGACATGGCAGTTGTGCCATCTTTTGGTCAAGTATCATGTGTGATAAGATGCTGATTTAAGGAAAATAACAAAACCTAGTAGAGCCATCTCAATAAATGGTGGCCAATAAATTGTGGTAATCATCTCCATAAATGATGTTTGTTTACATGCCCAGTGCATCTTTGACATCAATGATGTTCAGTCACCTGTCAGTGACTGAACATAAATTAAAATTGAAACTGATACCATGTTCAATGATCTCTTTTTTCAAGTTTGAGGTCTGTTATCATCAACATTTGGTGACTGACCAGTGTTATGGTAGCATCTGCCTGCAAGGTTTACAGGATAGCAGAGCTGTAACTGCCATGTGTGTGACGTATTATGCCATTAAAGGGAGTGGTCCACGTTTGCGCCAGGTTTTGAACCGAAATAGGCAGCCCAGATCATTTGGTGCAGTTCACAGCCCTCCCTGTTTAAGACCTAAACCCTTCTAGGTTCTGATCTGCACACTCATGAAGATAGGCAGACTATTTCAGGGAATATTTTTAGGTCACCCAAGCATCCAGGACACCACAATAATTCATTCAAATCCTGTGTCCTGGCCACAGCAGTTGTGGGGAAAACAAATATAATTGTTCAGTCTGTCATATCTGGTGTATGTGGGCACAATGGAGAGATTTAATGGGCATCAATGGGCTCTCAATCAGTATTGTGCAAAGCATGATGATGCAATCAAGACCAGGCCTTTTCACATGGAAATATGTTAATGGTACTGAGTGATCTGATTTGTATCATATCCTGATTTTGCTAAAATTTCTTCAATTGTGGAGCATCCCCTTTAACGATATATGATATTTATAGTTTGTACCAGTGAGAAGGTTCTTCTGATTTATTGTCAAAATTTGCGGATCATCGTGTGGTCTGTTATTTTGTGTGATTACTGGCACAGAAATTGTGTTTAAGTTAGGGTCGAGGAAATTGTTGAAATGTTACAGGATAGTATGCACCAACCCGATGGTTTCTGTATTCCTCCCGCCCCATTATACTCGATGAGTTCCGATTTCCCTCATGACTGCGACTGCAACGCCCCCTTTACCGACGAAAGTAAATGGAGATTGCCACAGACGAGGAAAGCGATAGTAGCGTTATCGGAACTAAAATGCCATTAAATCAGTAACCGTCAACTTAGGCCGCGACCGGTTGTGCTCCTAAGCGCTGCTCGATTCGACCGTGTTGACAGCTGCTAGGGGTGGCTGGACTCCAGGGAGAAGTGCCCGACTTCTCCTGACGCGTAGCTATCAATTGTCTGTCAATGCAATGCTGTATCATATATATGAATAAAGTGTAAGCATGGTGAGTTTTTAGTATGATCGATGATCACACTCTGGCTGATATCATGACACGTACTGCTGATACGAGCACCGTTATGGATTGGTTTTAAAGCCCAAGGCCTTATCGTACAAGGCCTCACGATAAGGCGTGATCATCCGCGGATTTTCTGGGGCATCCCCCTCACTACTGCAGTGACATCACAAAGTCGCAGTCGGAATCTGCCGCTTCGCCTGCATCACCTTGTCGTCTGCCATAGCGGTATACCCACGAACGTGTGTAGGTGGTGATCGCCGCAGGGCATTTCAAGAAGTCTTCTGGGGAAATAGGGAGGGGGAATTTTCTGCCACGCTGAGCGCGTAGCAGATATAGGCAGCAACAGTGATCTGGGCTCATACCAGCAGCAATCTGGGTGCACAACAGCAGCGGTCTGGGTACATAGCAGGGAAGGAACCGGGAATCCGTGTGCCATGACATTCTCATTTTCGGAGAATGCAGAACATTAAGTCTATGGTGAGGTATTGAAATTTGCCGGCTTGCAGCTGTTTGCAGCAGCAGCTGCAGCCGTGGTGCAGCTGGCTTGCAGTTGCAGTTGCAAATTCGGCCTGGCGGGCGCGCCGAAGATCGAACCGTTGCGACATGAGGAGCTGATCAACATCAGACTCATCATCTGGGCGGTTACACTGAACCCCAGTGCTGTACGTAGTGACACGCCGGGTCGCACTGGCGAGCGATTGAGGCAGTTTGAGACAACGGAGGTGGCGCACTGCCTCATGCCTCAAAGGAAAAATCGTGGACATTGCAGTATTTCATATAACGTTAACTATGCCGCGAAGCCTCCGAAGATCGTGGTGCACGACGTTAATCAAGATGAGATCTGTCACGCCATCCAGCCTAGCTCAACATGACAGTATCAAACGCACTGAAAAACTAACAGCAATGTGTGACATTTGTTCTTGCGCCCTGGCCCTGGCCAAAATAACTCACTTTAAGGGAGCACGACTATTTTTTTGCACAGTTCTAGAGATATGCGTCATAATACACCGTTCTAAAACAGCCCAAACGTTTCTCTCCGAGGGCAGCGTCCGTGCCTCAGACAGATACACAAGCACGGAAACCAAAAAAGCGGGGTACAACGATGTTCACTTTCCACGGCCCACATGCTGTCGCACCCGTTCAGGTGCGCACCTGGTAGCAGCCCGCTCAGCCCTAGCCTGATTAAAGGAAGTTCGAGTCCAAATGACGCTGTTAATGCATTGTAGCAGCACTACGTTTCCTCCCTTCAGTCGCGGTGACTGTCGCCATGACGACCACCGTGCGGAACCTCTACGGGTCCGAGTAAAAGAGCGTTGGTGGTTGGCCCAGCGGGCAAGAACATGTTGCCGAGAAGCAGGCTGATTGAAGCTTGAACCAGTGCGTCACATGGATCTTGTGATGTTCCCATTCCCAAAGCCGGGGTGCATCTCTCGAAGGGCCTCTGTGGCTAGTGCCATAGGTGCCAAATCAAAGTCATAGCATAACGTTTCGTGGAATTCGCGGAATAATGGCTTTCATGTCATGTTGTCAGTTAACCTTGCGCTGCGCCTCGGACAGCACGCGCGGGTCGGTGCTCCTCCCATCTCTCGTGTGACTGAGACCATGTGTAAGCCGAGTGATTGGCTAACTGCGAGTGAGCGAGTGACCAGAACAGTGGGTGAGATCACGACGAATTGAGCACGCAGCAACACATGTACGCATGCATAGAGTGGTTATAGATCTAAGCATACTGTGGGTCGCGGTGACAATCGTGCTGAGGACGGCTGCCTTAGCCCGCACCCCTGAGGGCGCCCTCGTGCCGCCGCTGGCGGTCGCCCGCGCGCCAGTGGTGGCTGCGCGTCACCACCGAGGGGAGCTGACGACCGCGCCCAGTCAGACAACGGTAGTCGATCTACCTACCCGTCTATGAACCGTGGCGCAGCGCCCGGCCAACCCGGACCAGCTGACCCTGGGACGCTTCGGCGTTTGCGCCGGAGGGCAAACTACCGTGGTTGCATGGGCGGTGCCAGCTGGGGCCGGCACGATGGAGTCAGCTCCAAGGATGTACTGATGAGACAACTGAACATGCATTCAGTCAAGCCAAAATTAGCTGATCTGCATCAAGATCTATCTGGCATGTGCCAGTTGACTTGTGAACCCTCAGTGAAACGTGGCTCACCTCGAGCGTCCCAGCTCGCCTACTGAAAATATACGGGCACGACGTGTACAGAGCGGATCACTCTAGAACCAGCAGGCTGCCGGGGGGGGGGGGGGGGGGGGGGAGGGAGGGGGTCATGGTGGCGTGGTGATTCTGGCACGGAACCACTATGAAGTGCAGACGTTGTCGACGACCTCAACGGTGACTAACTGCTGCTGCATCGAACCTGGAGGCAGTGTGGTGCCTCGTCCGAACAGCCAAACGAAAACGTCTATTGGTCGCGTCTACCCAACGGCATCCCGCTAACACCAGTCGACAACTGATAGCCGACTTCCATAACCTCGAAGGGTAGCTGCAGCGTATGTTGGCAACGTACCCAAATACCACACCGACAATCGCCGGAGACCTCAACGCCCGTCTGCTGAAGAGACCATCGGTGGCCGCGGCAAGTTGTCCCGGTGGCTGGCTTCGTCAGCTGACGTCCACGTACGGACTACACGTCTGCAGTACTGCCTGTCTGCTGAAGAGACCATCGGTGACCACGGCAAGTTGTCCTGGTGGCCGGCTTCGTCAGCTGACGTCCACGTACGGACTACACGTCTGCAGTACTGCCTGTCTGCTGAAGAGACCATCGGTGACCGCGGCAAGTTGTCCCGGTGGCTGGCTTCGTCAGCTGACGTCCACGTACGGACTACACGTCTGCAGTACTGCCTGTCTGCTGAAGAGACCATCGGTGGCCGCGGCAAGTTGTCCCGGTGACCGGCTTCGTCAGCTGACGTCCACGTACGGACTACACGTCTGCAGTACTGCCTGTCTGCTGAAGAGACCATCGGTGACCGCGGCAAGTTGTCCCGGTGACCGGCTTCGTCAGCTGACGTCCACGTACGGACTACACGTCTGCAGTACTGCCTGTCTGCTGAAGAGACCATCGGTGACCACGGCAAGTTGTCCCGGTGGCCGGCTTCGTCAGCTGACGTCCACGTACGGACTACACGTCTGCAGTACTGCCTGTCTGCTGAAGAGACCATCGGTGACCACGGCAAGTTGTCCCGGTGACCGGCTTCGTCAGCTGACGTCCACGTACGGACTACACGTCTGCAGTACTGCCCGTCTGCTGAAGAGACCATCGGTGACCACGGCAAGTTGTCCCGGTGGCCGGCTTCGTCAGCTGACGTCCACGTACGGACTACACGTCTGCAGTACTGCCTGTCTGCTGAAGAGACCATCGGTGACCGCGGCAAGTTGTCCCGGTGGCCGGCTTCGTCAGCTGACGTCCACGTACGGACTACACGTCTGCAGTACTGCCCGTCTGCTGAAGAGACCATCGGTGACCGCGGCAAGTTGTCCCGGTGGCCGGCTTCGTCAGCTGACGTCCACGTACGGACTACACGTCTGCAGTACTGCCTGTCTGCTGAAGAGACCATCGGTGACCGCGGCAAGTTGTCCCGGTGGCCGGCTTCGTCAGCTGACGTCCACGTACGGACTACACGTCTGCAGTACTGCCTGTCTGCTGAAGAGACCATCGGTGACCGCGGCAAGTTGTCCCGGTGGCCGGCTTCGTCAGCTGACGTCCACGTACGGACTAGACGTCTGCAGTACTGCCCGTCTGCTGAAGAGACCATCGGTGACCGCGGCAAGTTGTCCCGGTGGCCGGCTTCGTCAGCTGACGTCCACGTACGGACTACACGTCTGCAGTACTGCCCGTCTGCTGAAGAGACCATCGGTGACCGCGGCAAGTTGTCCCGGTGGCCGGCTTCGTCAGCTGACGTCCACGTACGGACTACACGTCTGCAGTACTGCCTGTCTGCTGAAGAGACCATCGGTGACCACGGCAAGTTGTCCCGATGGCCGGCTTCGTCAGCTGACGTCCACGTACGGACTACACGTCTGCAGTACTGCCTGTCTGCTGAAGAGACCATCGGTGACCACGGCAAGTTGTCCCGGTGGCCGGCTTCGTCAGCTGACGTCCACGTACGGACTACACGTCTGCAGTACTGCCTGTCTGCTGAAGAGACCGTCGGTGACCGCGGCAAGTTGTCCCGGTGGCCGGCTTCGTCAGCTGACGTCCACGTACGGACTACACGTCTGCAGTACTGCCTGTCTGCTGAAGAGACCATCGGTGACCGCGGCAAGTTGTCCCGGTGGCCGGCTTCGTCAGCTGACGTCCACGTACGGACTACACGTCTGCAGTACTGCCTGTCTGCTGAAGAGACCATCGGTGACCGCGGCAAGTTGTCCCGGTGGCCGGCTTCGTCAGCTGACGTCCACGTACGGACTACACGTCTGCAGCACTGTCACCCCGACCTACCGGCCGGCCGCTGCTCTGCCTGACGTGGTCATCATCAACAGACGGCAGCTCGGGGCAAGGAACGGCGTGACACGGTTGTGACACACGACAGCCACCACGGCGGGCCGCATGATTTTTCGCGTGTGCTGCTGCGGCAAAGTGGTCCGTCGTTCCAGCGCAGCGGAGCCGCCCCGTCGCGCTGTCTGAACCGAGATACAGGAACAGCTTTAACAAGACGCTTGCTAACGCGGACTGGACGCGGACTGGACTGGACGCGGGCTGGACTGGTGACCCGACAGAGAAATGGGACGCATTCCCACGGGTTTACATAGCTCTTCTGGTCGAGGTGGCCCCTGTGAGGCACGCGAGTCTGTCTGCGCCCAGCGCCCTGCCGCTGTCCGCGGTAACCCGCCAGCTGCTGGCCGGCCGGCGTGCCGCACTGGCGGCCGGACCGACTGGGCGGGCCCTCCGCCGTCAGCTGAGCCGAGGCAGCCGCGCTGCGATACGTTGGGACCACCGTGAACAGCTTCAGCGTAAGCTCAACGAAGGCGGCCCCAGCCGCACGGCAGGTACTGCGGCCTATCATCGGAACCAAGAAAAGACCAGTCAACGCAGCAGACCACAGCTGCTGCCATCAACTCCTATTTCTGTATTATGTGTAGATCCGAACACAGCTGCTAGCCTACCACTGCCGCGACGTGATGTGTCTCAGGCTCCGTCGCGTGTCTGCATGCGCCGTGCGAAATGGCCCCGTAACTTATGATGATTTTGTGCAATACAAATAGGATCTATGAAGCCATCCAAGTCGACCGGAACCGATGGAGTAAATGTATGTATGTTGCAACGATTTTTAGTGGGCCTGTGCTACGTGTTGCTGGACGTCGTCAGTGCAAGCCTGGTCACACGAGCGGTACCAGCGGGTTGGAAGCATGCCCTTGTAACACCAATACCGGAAGGAGGGAATTTAGCCAATGCGTCGAACTGGCGACCAATTTCCATTCCGCCCGCTGTGACTTAAAGGGGTGAACAACACGTGCATCACCAGGTAAGCGTTTATTTCGAAAATAAACATTTGTTTTCGTCCTCCAAGCACGGATACCGACGTCATCATTCAACTGAGACTGCTCTCACGCTAGTGACTGGCCGTATGTATCGTGCCATGGACTGGTAAAATTGCTCTTTTAGTGTACTTGGATTGTTCGAAATGTTTTGACGTCATCGATCATAGAAAATTACTCAGCAAACTAAATATGCACGGCGTGGACAGCCATTGGCTACATAACCATCTTAAAAGACACACTCAACAGGTCAGAATAGCTCGGAGGGACGGAAGTGAACCTCTAAGAGCCACAGCCAAACACAACCGGAGCCTGTCGAGGTAGAGGCCTGAGATGTTAAATGTTTTCCATATTCTCGAACGAAATGAACCTGCGTACCGGCAGCTCTACAGTGGCTCAGTCTGCCGCCGATACCCAACTGCTTGTTTGTGGCTGTAAAGAGCAGCTCTTTTCTCGTTTGGGAAGCGCTCTCACAGAATTTGTTAACTGGTATAACCAGAATAAAATGAAAGTTAATGCGGCGAAAAATAAATTTCTGCCACTTGGAACAATTCTATGCTTCGTGATGTTCTCAAAATTACGATCCAAATTAGACATCGATGGGGACTGAAGCCAGAGCTATCAAGAATCTGGTCTAACAATTGACAAAAACCTCACCTTTCAACGACACATTGACCAACTGACAGCTAAGTGTGCTGGTACATTCGTTGGTCTCATCCACACCAGCCGCCTCGCTCCGCGCTGTGTTCTGCGGCAAGTGGTGGGAGGACTCGTGATGTTCTCACTCGTTACTGCATATCCATTTACGGAACATGCGGCACCACACAAATTTACCGAGTATCCATGTCCGCACCCATCCATGCCATTTTATGAAACCGCAGTAAACTGAACTGAGCTGAACTGGGTTGAACTGTTGGCATATCTCCTTGTTTAAACGAGCTTTTCAAGCTTTCGTAGCATTGATTACTCAAACATTTTGACACATTAGCGTGTTGCAGACATTTCAGACTGTGCATGGTAAAAACGAAGTAAATAAACTTAATTGCTTAAGCAGAGGTGAACAGGAAGTCAAATGAGATTTCTCCCGCGGCGTCGGCCACTTCAAATCGAAATTCTGAGCTATTCAAAACTATTTCGAGAAACCTGACATTGCTGATCAAACCGCACGCGTCTGATGAAACAATAGGCGAAAATTACAAAACAGGAGGGATGCTCCCTTAAAGCAACCCAAAGCGCAGATGAACGCGCGTCACCTACTGCCATGCGATCCTCTTGTTCGACACGGAGCATTTTTCCATTAGCAGCTGGAATCATCAATCATGGAATCAGCAGGCCCATTGTAGCAGGAACACAGCCTCGAAAGCCTTGAAAATGCTCATCCAGGCCGGCGACGGTACCATCAGACCACCCCGACTGATCGTGCGCATCCAGCTGTCTCGCACACAGATGGCGGCGCCTTTCGGTTTGATATTCCTATGCTCGGGTCGAGGTGTTTGTACTTGGTCGTGACGGACCCGGCAACGAAGGCCAGCACCTCGTGCTCGGTGTTAACCCCGTCCAGCTCGTCGCCGCAGTGGTCATTTTCGTTTCTCTTGCCATCACTGCCATGGAGCTTGTCCTCGTCCTACTGGTTGACTCCATCGTCACTTTCGGCTTTGTTCAGGACGGGCGCTGGAAGCATCGGGTTGCTTGCTGGCAGATGGCCTCCACGTCGTCCGCATGCGCTACCGCTTCCACGTCGGCTGGATCTTGGCTCTGTGATACAATGAAGCGAAGTCATTTCCACATACGTGACCTTTGCATCAATCAGAACCTTTTACGTCAGCAGTTTTGTTTGTCTTCGCGACAGCGACACGTCACGGAACCAGATATGCCCATTCTTTCATTATCGCATGCTCGTTTGTATATGAATCCGCATTTTTGCGGTCCAGTGTGATATCATCCTGACGGATAAAAGGGATCAAAAGGGGTCAACGGCCTGTGACTTCTGCGCTTCCCTTAGGCGTGACGCTCCCTTAAGAACGACACTCAATAGAATGGTGAATGGGGCCGCATGCATTTGCAAACGTAGGCTTACCGTTGAAAAAGCAACGTAAATATTCTCGATATAGCAGCAGCCCATACTATAATACGGCAACTTTTCCTAACACTGTCAATTATTTCACGAGTAACTCGATAATTTCCGCAGCACTGAACAGCTATGACTCAAGGTCAGTGTTTGCTTCGGCATTATGTGGGCTGCACGCTCTCCGGTCAGTGCTCGGTCAGTGCTGGCGTTGTCACACAATTATGACGCATAGACCTTTATTCAGGCATCAGTAGTTACCATATACGATTGGCAGAGTGTCCCCCCCCCCCCCCCCTCCTGTAACTGGGCTCATGCGCGCTGCCATTTTACAGCCGGTCCTCCCAAACAGCAGATGAAACAGACTCCAATTTTCGGTTGGATTTTGGGGATATTTATGACGAGATTGGTTGCCGATGGAAAACGCTCGCTCGACACACAGCTCCTGAGCTTCACAAATGACAAAATCTGCACCAGTAGCGCTACCTATACTAGCACTTTTTCGTACATAACACTGACTAATTCAGCATAGTCCCACGCCTGATGCTACTGACATCAACAAGTCGCCATAGATGCCCTGTAAGCTAAGGGATGCCCGTTGCGGCTCGTGGTCTGAGCAGGGCGTTGGGGCACATCAGCACGCGGCGTGAGCTGGTCGCTCGTGGAAGACCTCTGCCTTGGACCGTTGACCACGTACCCTCCTGGTTGAAGCGCGGTTTGCGGTAGGCCGTCTGCTATACCTGTCGCAAAAACGAACACCACAGAAACCCCACACGGGCCGGGTCCGGGAGGTGAAGCCGTACACCAGCTGCCAGGCGTGGTCCACAGCCGCGCGTCACAACACACGCTCCGGCCACGTGGTCAGCAGCGCAGCGCGGCGTCGCCGAGCGGGTCTCCCGGACCGTTGCCGTTGCCGGGGCCTGGCAGGTGCTGCGGTGTGCGAAGTGTGTGTGAGGACGACCGGCACCAGCCGGGTCCGGTGTGCGTGTTGCGGCCAGGGACGAAGTGGTGACGACAGCGCGGGCTAATGACAGTGTGGTAGCAGTTGGGTGACTTCTCATGATCGAACCGCGAGTTGGCCATTGCTCCAAAAGTGACGCGAAGGACTAAGTAACATAAGGTCGTTATGATGGCGGCTTAGTCCATAGCGTTGCGATGGAAAGCAAAGCGCAAAAGGGGTAATATTTCCAGTATTTGAGCCTTGGCGCGGCGCTGTATTTTCTTCGTTCGAAGCGGGGAGACGTTCTGGGGAGTGTTCGGTGGGCCAACTCCCGACGTGTCGCCACTCACATCGATCAACGAAACGCCCGGGGAGCCAATTCAACCTCTTCAGCTCCGTTGAATTGCGTTCCGGGGCAGCCGCTACTGGCACCGTCAGGATTAATCCCAGCCTTTGAGCAGGACTAGTGCATCATAGGCGCGGGGGCAGCGGCGGCGGAGTCGGAGCCCGGTCCGACTCTGGGCTCACCGCACAGAGTCGGACGCCGTCGTGCCCTCCGTCGGAAAGGGGTGCTCGCTGAAGCCGCCCTCACCTGGCCAGCGGACGGGTGGCCGGCCGGCCGCGGCACCGGACCATGGGCGAGCGGACGCGGCTCCGGCTGGTGTTCCTGCCGTCGGTGGGCGGCGCCCCCTGCCAGCCGGCGCCCATCAGCCCCAAAGAGCGGCCGCTCAGCGCCACCTGGCGCGACGAGCTGTCCGGCTCGCTGGAGCTGGACACGCCCACCACGCCTCAGGAGGCAGCCGCCATTCCCGGCGCGCCAGGTCCGCACCGGCGGGCAG